ATAAAAGAAATGTTAGCGAAATTTACATCTGACATTTACGTCTGAATGAAATAGTGAAATACTTGATGCGCAGAGTGTACTTTCATTGCGTAAATCCGTCGGGATGCCTGTCAGTAGTGCTTTCTCTGTCTAGCCGTCGAAAGCCTCTAGAAATTTGATGAACTGTACGTAGTTGAAGAACAAGACAATCCGCATACTGATGAAACTAATAAATGGGACAGTGATACTGCGAGTATAGATGACTTCTTATTTGATCATACACAAATAGGAGTCAAGTTATATGGAGATATGAATTCTTCGCCATTTGATATTTTTAGTCAACTCTGGAATGATGATATAATGGAGTTATTGATAAAATCCACCAATAATTATGGGAAGTCCCTAACTAGACAATCACGCCCTAAAACTAGAAATTCACGAAGTGCGTCTTTCAAAGAGACATCTCGAGATGAAATGCAGAAGTTTATTGGTTTATGTTTACTGCAAGGGCAAATCAAAGTCCAGAATATTAGAAAACTTTTTAGTTTTGACCCATTGAACTATCATTTAATATTATAACAAATGTTACGGTGTTTTTCTATACATAGTAGTAATGAAATTTCTGATGCCAATGATCGACTTTAAAAGATTAGAAGCTTATTGAATATTTGTCTTCGAAATTTTCAAGACGCTTGTACCCGAGAATACCGATCAAGGTCGGTATTCTCGGCTTATACACCAGGTAAAGAGTTATCTCTGGACGAGTCTTTACTATTATTCCGTGGGCGGCTTTCATTCAGAACATATATGAAAAATAAAAAAACAAAATACGGTATCAAATTTTATGAACTTTGTTCTTATGACGGATATGTGTTGAATGTAGACATTTATAAGGGTCCGGGGGAAGAGGTGCCAGATGAAAATATGACAAACCTGGAACGTCTCGTTTTAACACTAATGCAACCTTACGTAAATAAGGGATACCATCTTTTCATGGACAATTTCTATAATAGTATTACACTTGCCAACAGATTGTTGCAGAATCAGACACACGTAACAGGTACTCTACGCTCTAATAGACGAGGAAACCCTAAAGTAGTTGTAAGTAAACGTCTTCGAAAAGGATATCACATCTGGAAACGTCGAGGAAAGGTTTACATCTCGAAGTGGAAGGACAAGAGTGATGTTTTTTGCCTAACAACTGCTCATCGTCCTGCTTTAGCAGAGGCCAAAAATCGACACAACCAAATACGAATAAAACCAGTGGAAATTATTGAAATAAATTCATGTCTGGTATTGATCGCTCCGATCAAATGATTTCATATTATTCTTGTCCCAGAAAGACGATTAACTGGTATAAAAAAGTTATTTTCCACTTACTGGATATAACAGTTTGGAATTCCTATTTTTTGTACACAAAAGTGACACAACAAAAAATAAGATATATAGAATACAAAGAAGCTCTTATTAGATCACTACTAGGTATTGACAAGAACCTGAAGGATGGCCGTTTCCTTGTCAAGCTGAATCCAATACACCAACCTAGTGACCATTCAAGACCTCATTTTACTCATGCTGCTCGTACATCCCAACACTTCCAAGAATTAATACCAAGGCCAGACAACTATAGTAGAAAGTTCTATTACCTACGATGTAAACAGTGTTCACAAGACAAGAAGAGGACGGAAACGCATTGGAGGTGTAAGACATGCCAGGACACTCCACGCCTTTGCGCTGGACCGTGCTTTGAAAGGTGGCATATAGAAAGAAACTGATTTATTTTGTTTAATAATTACTTTTTATAATGTTCTGAAAATTTAATAAAACCATTTTGTGTAACATTACGTCGACCGATTACAGCCGTCTTGTCCCATCATACATAATATATTTGCCTGATGGGACAGTGACGGTTGTTACCGTCATAGTTTTATTCGGCTTAAGTTATTGATAATCGGCAGGTTTATCTGACATGATCTTGGGTGATGGATCTAGTGTTAATATTATGTTGAATATAATTTTTATAAGTATTTTTATATTTCATATATTTTAAGGTGCTTTTTACGTAGAATTCTCTTATTGATAGAGCTCCACTCTCAGTGAATAAGCTTTCAGATGAATATCTTTTTGGTTTTTTATTTATTATCTTGAGAATATATTTTTGTGTTAGTGTTAAATTCTGTAATATATTACCACACGTACTTCCCCAAATTTTTTAACCATAGTTTATGCCAGATTCAACTAAAGCTTGATATATAGTTTTTAGCAGTTTTTTTGTCATAAATTCCCTTAATTGGTAAAACTTATGTATTGTTTTCCTAATTTTCTTAGTTATGTATTGAACTTGAATATCATATTTAAAATTTTGGTCAATATAAACACCTAGATATTTTATATTTGATGCTGAGTTTATAGTGTTTGTGCAGTTGCATATTGTATCCTTATTAAAGCATTGGTATGTATGTATTTTAATATCAGGTTGGATATCAATATTATTATTATTACTTATTGAAAATGGTACAAAATATGTTTTGCTTTCATTTAGGGTTAGAAGGTTTTGATCCATCAAGAATTTAACTAATGTCATATATTTTTCTGCTAGTCGATATGTATCTGTCCATGTTTTAGCTTTAATTAATATAACTGAGTCATCTGCATAACAGATAATGAGGCCATTTTTTTCTGGCAATATCTTTGTAAGGTAGTTAATGTAAATTGAAAATAATAGAGGTGCAAGGACCGTGCCCTGAGGCAGACCCAATTCTACTTTTTTCTTACAGCTTACATTGTTACCGATTTTTGTTTGTTGTGTTCGACCATTGAGGTATGAATCAAATAGTTTCCATTCAGCTCCTCTAATTCCAATATTCTCAAGTTTTTTTAGCAGAATTGGGTGCGCCACAGTGTCAAAGGTTCTTGCAAGGCCAATAAAGATACCAATGGTTTTGTAACCATCATTGAAATTTTTTGTTATATTTTCAGTCAGGTGTAGGATGGCATCTTCAGTGCTCATCTTACTACGAAACCCAAACTGTGTTTCGGATAATACATTATTTTCTTCTAGTTGGTTGTTAAGTCTTAGTTTTATACATTTTTCTAGCAGCTTATTTATTGTGCTGGTTATTTCAATTGGTCGATAATTTTCTTTATTTTACATGTCTCCAGCTTTGTATACTGGTGTTATTATAGAGTTTTTTAGAATACTAGGATAGGTACCTGTCGTAAATACAAGATTTATGATATGTAAGAGGGGTTTAATTAGGGTCAGATGATTATCTTTTATAATTAATGCTGATATATTATCTGAGTAGCATGATATTTTATTTTTTAATGTACCAATCTGTAATATTAAGTCGTTTTTTGTAAATTTTTGAAATTTTGCTGTTTTTTGTAAACTGGGCTCCTGAAATTCATAATTATTTTTTAAAATCTTTTTACTAAGGTTGATGCCCATGTCACAGTAATAATTTAAGAAGATGTTTGAAATTTCTCTGTTATCGGTTATTTCTTGTTTATTTTCTATTAAAGAGTTAATATCGTTTTTTTGTGTTATATCGTTTGTGGCCTCCCGTACTACGTCCCATACCTTTTTTAAGTTATTTATATTTTTGTTAAGTTTATTTTTATAATAGGAATATTTTGAAATCTTTATTAATTTTGTTAAATGGTTTCTATAAGTTCTAAATCTATTTAAAGCAAGTTCATTTAGGGGATCTTGAAGGGTATCCTTTTTTAGTTTATCACGTCTTTTTATAGAGTTAATAATACCTTGAGTGATCCAGGGCTTTTTCTTCTTTATTAGGGGAATAGATTTATAACTAGTAGCATTTTCAATAATTGATATTAGTATTTGAATAAAGTTATTACTGCACAACTCTCATTACAGTTTAAAATGTCATCCCAGTTATAGTTTTCTAGGGAGTTTGAGACTTTAGTTTGATCAATTGACTTCTTTTTTAATGGCTGATTTGATAGTTGTATGCATGTGTTTTCAAATTGTAAACTTAACACTATTGGAAAATGATCAGTTAACCCACTCTTTATAACATAAGATTTAGCCATTATGCTTTTGTTATTTTTTAGAAAAAAGTGATCAATACAGCTTTTTGTTTCTCCTGAAATTCTAGTAGGTGTATTTATTTGATTTATATATCCGTGATGATTTAAACAATTTAGATATTCACTCAAAGAGTTTGTTATTTTGTTATCCAGGATATGAATATTGATATCCCGCAAAATATCTCAATTGGGTATTTAGTATAATTCTCTGTGAGGAGGAGCTTTAGGTTATCTACAAAGTCTAATTTATTTAGACACGGTGAGTTATAAATAGTAATTAAACCAATTTTAGTTTTATTTTTAGTGAAAGTGATTCTTAAAAACTTTGAGAAATTTATAGTAAAAATTTCAGATTTAGGTAAAAGACTACTTTTTATTAAAACTATGCTGCCGTCACATTTATTTAATCTACGTTCATTATAGAATATTTCGAAACCATTTAATTTGAAGTCGTTTAGGTTACAAATTTTGTTTGTTTCTGATAATACGATAATATCGAACTTACAGTTATTATCTGTCTCCAGATATGCCTGTAAGTCCTCAAAATGGGCATAAATGCTGGAAATATTCAAGTGGATAATGTTTAAAAAGTTATTACCTAGAACCTTCATATCACTCAACTGGTCGTAAACATCTGCATCAATCCTATTTTGATAGTCATCAAAAAGATTATTACAATCCATTTTAATAACCTAAACAAGATTATAACTAAAATAAATAGAAGATAATAGTAAAAAATGTTTTTCATTTTTTCAGTTTATTTATATCTTCTTCTGTCATAATTCTTATTATGTTACTTTCTTCTTTTTCTCTAACAAATATATTTCCCGCCTTCGCCCAGATGAATTTAAAACTTTCTTTTTTCAAGTCTCTTGCTTTATTGTACAATATTTTCTGTTCTTTGCTCATGTCTTCATTGAAATATATATTTGTGTCCTCTCCATCTATTCCACATTGCTCTGTGCTTATTTTACCTTTTGCTCTCCGTTCTTGTAGAAAGTTGTTTTGTTTTCCATAGTATTAAATTCGATTAGTATGGGAGAGTTTGAAGTTTTAAAATTTGTAAGTTTTATTTTACAATTTTCTTCATCTATATTGGGAGCTACATATTGAATTGCTTTTTTGGCCTTCTTTTTGACATTTTCAATCCATGACGTACCATTCTCTTCCACGTTGTACTTAATTCCCACCACAATTAGGTTATTTTTTCGTTTCTCATTGTTTTTAGCCTCCAGAGAGGTTTTGATCTTGTTAATTTCGTTCTTTATGGTTTCATTCTCTCGTTTAAGTTTAATTAACTCTTCATCTATTAAGCCATTTCTGACTTTTTGCTCCTCAAAACATTCGGAGTAATAAGTGAGGTCTTTTCTGTAGTCTCTCATTTCTCTTCTCATATCTTGTAGGACTATCATTAGATCATCCAGAGTTAAAGCAGAATTTTTCTTATCCCCATTTTTACTTCCACTTGGGGTTTTCCGAGGGCTGTTGCTATGATTATTTTTTGTTTGTAGGTTTTGCACACATTTTTTGTTTAGTTTTTGCATTACTTGAAAGTCTATTTGTTTTATATCTGCGCACGCCAAGTGAAAAAATTTTGCACAACAATCCGCGTTCTGGTTACATTGTAAAGTGTCAGGTGCTTTTGTATTAACATTAGTATTGCATCTTCCCCACATATCAACGATACTCCTTTTCTAGGTCTCGTCATTTTCTCTTGTTTAGTTCAAGAGAGAAATCGGATTCCTTTTTATTTAGAAACAAAGTTTTGTTGATTTTATTACGATTGATTTAGGTTATGATCTTCTTTTCTTTTTGCGTGGCCTGTGTACAGGTTAGTGACGTGGCCGTATAGTCCTTTGTCTTTACGAAGTTGGTCGTTTTTGCACGTACGTCTGTACTTATTTCTGGATTCCTAACCTCAAATCGAGAACGTGCAATTTTGTATTTGGATTTTCTTTTAAGTGCAATGGATTCCGACCGTTATTTTACGCTTATTCCAAAACTGACACACTAGTTTTTAATTTGACACACTTTTTGCAAATGTATCTGCTGATTTTCCTGGTTATTTTTACAATTTTTGTTAGATTTTACACTCAAAGACCACTTTAAAGTATCTTTCAAAACCCCCTCTTCATTACATAACTTATTTGTTCATAATAAAGATAAATTAGATCCCTTTGACTTATCTGGAATTTATAAATTAACTTGTAAATCTTGCCATTCTTTCTATGTGGGACGCACATTTCGAAATTTCAAGATCCGTTTAAAAGAACATTTACGTTGTCTTAACCAAAATACAACAGGTTTTTCACATTTTGCCAACCACCTACTGGACTCAAATCACGACTTCGATTCAACTGAAGGTTTCGAAATCCTTCATAGTTCCTACAATAGATTTACTCTTAATAGCTTCGAAAACCTCGAGATATTGAGACATTTAAAATTAAATCCTGTTGGTTGCTTAAATGCCCAGATATTGTCAGAAACTCCTCCTGTTTTCTCAACACTAATCTAAATTTATCGTTCTAACTTCCTTTTTAACCTCCCCCCTTTATTTCTATTCACATATCTTCTTGCAAGGGGTACATTTCAGTAAGTAATTTTTATATTTTTTATATTTTTTCCCATAAGAAACCAACGAGCACGTGTAAAGATTAGGTTAGATTGTCTGATATCCACATGCGTCATTTTCTTATTTTATTCTTCAGTTGCTTCACAACAGTTAACCCAGTCATTTCTTCTTCTTTCTTCTTCCTACAACATCACATACACTTGGTGATTGGTTCATGGCCCAAATCTTATATAATAGATAATAAATAATTCTTCACTCATAGTTTACATCTTATTAACTATACCCTGTCATAAGTTTACCCAAGAATTTTTTCGTTATAATACTTACCACCACCTGTAGAGGCCTTAACTTGACAGGTCTCCTTTCAAAAAATGTTAGTTTTTTTGAAAAGCAACAATGTTTAAAATAGGCCTTATCTTTTAATCTGTTTAATGTATGTGATTTGTTTTTGTATAGTCTTGAATATTTTAAATTTTCACTATAATTGACTAATATTTGTTTTATCAAATATTTTTAACTTTTTATTACGTGTAAATCGGTTCATTTTACAATTTATTTCAACCCAAAATTGATGAAACTTGTTTTTGTAGTATTCCCTAGTGGATGGAGAGTATGGTGAGTTTTCTCTTTTTTATTATTTTATATATCGTTTTGTTTCCAAGTTAACACACCTTACACCACATATTCTCCTTTCCACTAGGCGAGCCTGAAGATGAAGTGATGACATTTCGAAACCGGTCGCACTCAATGTTTTGTTAAACAATTAAACATTGACTTTCCTTGTGAGATATAAAGGACTTTTTCTCACCCTTCACCTTAAAATTACCTCAACTCACACATGGCTACCCCCCTTGTCAATGAAATAATTTAGTTTCTGCAGCTAAAACTTCTTCAACGTCCAAACTTCCTATTCTTTTATTTTTCCTATTTCGACAATTAAAAATAAATCTATTAATCTAACAATTTTCTCAAATTTTGAAAAGTATCTATAATACCAGTCATCGGCTAATGTATCATTAAACAAAGAAATTATCTCACTCCTCTTCTCTGTATAAACTAGATCTTCATTGCATAAAAACTGCTGAGATGGCCAGCTTTCTTCACTTTTATATAGCCAAGCTGGTCCAATCCACCAATTAGATTTTAATAAAGCTTTAGGACTACACCCGCGGGAAGGTATATCTGCTGGATTCAATTCTCCCGGAACATAGTTCCAAAAATGTTTATGAGTCAATTTTCGAATTTCTTCTACTCGATTCCACACGAATGGTTTCCATATTTCCTCCCTCTTTATTCATGATAAAACGGTAGTAGAATCTGTCCACCAATATATTAATATATTTTTATCAAAATTCTCTTTTACAGCTTGTGATAGCCTAGCTCCAATTGTTGCGGCCATCAACTCTAAACGGGGAATTGTAACCCTTTTAATTGGTGATACCCTCGCTTTTGCTTGAAGTAAATGCACATAAACTGTGCTGTCAGTTACGGATCTTAAAAATATTACACAAGCATAAGCATTTTGACATGCACCACAGAAAACATGTAAACTCAAATTTTCAGAATATGGAGATATATTTAGCCATCGTGGAATTGTTAACCTTTTCAAACAAGACAATTCATTCAACCATCGCAAAAATTCTGTTTTGATATCGTCCTGAATTTCAACATCCCATCCTATCTTCATCTTCCAAATTTTTTGTAATAACATTTTCGGACACAAAGAAACTGGACAAGAAAATCCAATAGGATCAAAAATGTTTTGAGCATAAGATAACATTTTACGTTTCGTCACTTTATTTGATATGTTATCCTTAAAACAATCATTGTTAATTAGCAGGGCATCTTCTCTTTTATCCCAATTTAATCCTAAAACTGGAATAACATTTTCGATATCGTCTTCATCTTGATCAACCCTCGTATGCTCCCAACATCTTAAATCAAACATTCCTTCAGACATCATATCAGTTGATTCTTTTATAAATTGGTGCAAATCTTCAATACTATCAACACTTGTCACGGAGTTGTCAACATAGAAACTTTTGGCAAGTTTTGAAATTATCCACGGAGTAAACAAATATGAATGATCTATACTCTCGTTCATCTTTTTTTTCAAATGGTAGTCAATCACGGCACATAACAGAAATGGGCTGCAAGTTGCTCCAAAGACGACTCTAGCATGTCTGTAAACTTTAATTTCGTTATTCTCACCATACCAAAAAAATCGCAAAAAGTCTCTATCATAGTGCGACAAACTTATCTGCAGAAAAGCTCTTCTTATATCTGATACAACTCCATATCTTTGTAATCTAAATCTTATCATAATTAAAGGTATCAACTCTATTAAATTTAATCCTTTATCTAAACATTGGTTTAATGAAGGTTGCTTTTTCTGGTGGACTGAGGCATCAAAAACGGGACGAATCTTTGTAGTCTTACTACTTAATTTAACTACATGTCTGTGAGGTAGGTAGTGTCCTTTGGTTTCTGCTAAGTCGTTGAGTGGTACTTCCTCAATAATATTTTCTTGTAGCCATTCTCTAAAGACTTGGCTGTAATCATCAAAATATCCTTCACGCTTCAATTTTTCGGTAACAGTTTCTAATCTTTTTCTAGCTATATCTTCATAAGTGGGTAACGGGGGATGTCCTTGCAACCATGGCATATTTACTTCATACCTTCCTTCTGAATTTATAGAAACAGTTTCAAGAAAATGTTTTTTAACTGCTATTTCTACTTGCTCTCTTGTTTTCTTTTCAGCCGGATCTTTTATACCCAAGGTTTCCAAGCTCCACAGATCCGAAATTTCTTTATACGCCGAAAACAATGAAGTAACTATCATGTTATTTGATAAGGAACCACCAAAAACTTTTCCCATTAATGTCCACCCTAGTAAAGTCTCTACAGCTACTAAACCACAGTCTAGTTTATACTGTTTGCCCAGTTATTAATTTTCCAGCAATGTCAGCTCCTATTAATATATTTACAGGTTCAGGATTTCTGTCACTAATTTCAATGCCTAAACTTTCGAGTTCTTTTATCCAAGGTCCTTCTTTCACATGATTGATACCATTACATATAACTTCTTGATCTAGAACTTCAAAATTACATGAATAACTATCATTTACACTGTTCAGCCAAATCCTATATCTTATATGTTTAATGTTCTCTGAATATACACCACCAAATAAAGCGTGCATTATAACGTCTTCACCTAGAGGAACACATTGCATTGTAGACGCTAAAGATTTGCTAATATAGCTTCTTTGGGACCCCGTGTCTATTATAGCTCGTGCGTATTGATAACAATTATTAGGACCCATAATTTTTACTTTTAGAGTCAGCAGGAATACTTCACAATGTGTGCTATTTGATAGAGTTTCACTTGGTGGAAGATCAATTTGCTTTTTATTTTCATGTACGTTATTTTCTTTCTTATCATTCTCAGGACACATAAGATTCACGTGGCGTTTATTACAGATATTACAGTGGATTCTTACGTGACAATTTCTAGATACATGTCCAAATTTTAGACATATGAAACAGCACCTTTTATCTTTTAAAATTCTCGTTTTTTCTTCATATGAAAACTTTTTGGCATTCGTGTGAACATTTGGGTGAACTTTTATGATTTATTAGTCCTGACGCAGTAGGTACACTTTCTTCTTGACAAAACATATATCTCTTCTTCAATTTATTATTTCCGCCTTTAATATTAAAACCAAAAGCGGCCATCAATATTCTTTCTTCGCTCTCGACTTCTCGTCTTAAAAACTCCATATTATTTAGTCGATCTTTTAATGAAGAATCGCAGTTGTATAAACTACTTCTTTGCCAAGCTCTCAAAAATTCCTTTGGTAAACAAGACTCTACCAACGGAAACAACAGAGCTGCACATGTATCCGAAGTAACGCCTAATGTATCAAGTGCTCTTAACTGTGTTTCCATTTTATCATAAAGATCTGCAAGTTTTACCTCCTTATTTAAATTATTAAGTATAAGGGAAAGTAGTTCTCTAACATAGACTTCTATTAAGAGATCTGGTCTACCAAAACGAGATGTGAGGCTATCGATAGCTTTGGAATAGTTATTACTAGTAGGAGGAAAGCTATCTATTATTTGTCTTGCTCTGGTTTTAGGGGCTGTAGCTTGAATTAGGTATTGAAACTTGTCCTCTTCATCAATTTCTTGATCTTCATGTATGCGACGAAATTGGCTCCAAAACGACAACCAGTCTTTTACGTCTCCACCGAATTTTTTAAATTCGATCTTCGGCAAGTTTAACTTATTTTGACCACGAACGGTATCTCCACTGATACTCATAACATCAGCTTTATCAGATATTCTCTTATTCAACATTGCTTCGTAAGAAACTTTAATAAAATTATACTTAGTAAGATATTCTTCCGATGTTTCAAGCTCTGTAACAATATCATCTTCGTTTGAACTGATGTTTAGTAAATGATCATACATTTGTTGATCTAATTCTTTAATGGAGTTAAATCTTTGATCAAAATTTCTTATATTTACTTCTAATTGTATCATATCTGGTTTAGATTGGAACAATAACTCATGAAGATTATTATACAACTTTGTAAATGCACGTCGTTGGCCCATACGGGCTTTCTTAATCCTTTCCATCCTCGAAGTTCAACAGATCGTGTCCTGTCACGGTCGCCAAATGTGTTAAATTTGACCTGTTTGGACTGCTGGAATCTTACAGATTTCAGCTAATTGAAAGGATTCTATTTAAACCTTAACAATAAAATATATAACGTCTTCCAATATAATATATTACATTACGAGTGTGGAAAATCACTTTTCACACAAGTGATGTACAATATTTTTCCTACGACCACAAAATAATTTCATCAAAAAATGTAAAACCAGATTATTATAATAATTAAAATGTATTTAAAAAAATAATCAACAATAATCGTATTTATTAAATTTTCATAATTTCTAAACAAATAAAAAAAAAAAAAATAAAAAAAAAATAAAAAATAAAAAAAAAATTCTGGCACAGCCAGGATTCGATCGCGGTCGTTGGACGGTCTCAAATTGCAAAGTTGATGCTCTAACCAACTGAGCTAACAGGCCTTACGGTAATTGATTGATCTAATCGCTTATGTGTTTAACCAGAATAAAAAGCAAATATATCTTAGTTATTTTAAAATTATTTTAAAAATAGTTGTTAAAGATAAATATCTAGGATCTAATTTACAATAATTTAACAATCATATCGATTTTAGTATTAATATGGACATTACATAGATCAAAATAGAAATTATGTGTTTGACATTTTCTGACAGCTACTGCGGAAAGTAGCATATTCTCACTTGGGTGGAAAGTAAATTCTTATTCATACGCGTGTGATATAGGGCACTTTCCATAGGTCTATATAGTGTGATATGTGTCACTTTCCTAAGTGGTCGTAGGAAAAAGATATTTTATTGACAACTAATCTTTTTTATATATGACATTTTACAACTTTCAAAACTAAAAAAAATATATCATACAAGGGGCACTAAAATTTTATTTGAATATTTCCAACATATACCAATCAGTATTGGCACTCTGAGGCGGCACGTTTGATCTTTAAAAGTAGAAATTTTAGTTCACTTGACGTTTTCGGGATATGAAAAGTTTTCTTTACACGGACTTGGTATACATGATACATGGTTAATTGAATTTTTGTTCTGCTGCTTTTCAAATTCGTGTGTATGAGGGAGATGTGAGATACCTTTATAGACAACGGTTGAACAACTTAGACCCATATTTATAAACAAAACTCAGCTGAGTCGGACTTGGGTAAGTCGTCCTTGAACTAAAATCGAAGTTCGGTTATATCGCGTGAATTTAGAGATGGGTAGTAACAAATCCGTAAATAAACATAACAGTTACAGATTTGCTAATAGCCATCTCTAAATTCCAGTGTAACACCGAAACCACCTCGAACTATAGAGACGTTGTAACTGAACTTCGATTTTAGTTCAAGGACGACTTACTCAAGTCCGACTCACGTAAGTTCTGTTTATAAATACGGGCCTTAATTACTTTGAAGAAGAAAATAGATTAGATATCAGGGCAGTCTTCGCAAATGTAAGAAGGACAGAACCGTTTTAAATTTTTTTATATATGTGAAATATTACTTTTTGGTGAAAAGTTTAATTACTTTGTTCAAAATATAACGTTAGTTTGTCAAGGGAAATATATAAGACACAAGGTTAGAGTAACAAAATAGAGGTATTGCTTTATTTCTTAAGAATTACTCTAATCTAAAACTTTTCTAGTATATTGTAAAAAATTATTCTATACGTTATTTAGGTACTGCAAAATCTATAGGAAAGTATGTAGTTTTAAATTTAAAAATTTGTAACGGAGACATACAGGGTGTTAAAAAAAAAGTGTCACAAAATGAAATGGTGAATAGTATGACCCAAAATAAGCAGAAAAGTCTTAATAAATATATGACCGCAAATTAACGGTTTCGGAGATACGGACCATTTTGTGTTTATAACAATTTATTATTATTATAAAAAAACAATGATATTTATAAACAATCAATAACAACATAGAGTTAAATGAGATGTTCAAAGTGCCCTCCCTCCATTTCAATGCATTGCCATTTGCACGACCGTACATAAAATGCATGTCAGCTAATTCAATATTAGTGTAAACAGGCATAACGAAAATTTATAAAATTATTCACCCACAACAAAATAATAACTGCAAATAGTATCTATGAAAAAACATCGGTAGACTCCGATAAGAAAAGCAAGTTTTTGAGAATGAAAAAAGATAATCAAAAAATGATACAAAACACTCCGAAACACTCTGAAACCATTCATTTGCGGACATATGTTTATTAAGACTTTTCTGCATATTTTGGCCCATACTACCCCCCGTTTTATTTTGTGACACTTTTTTAAACACCCTGTATTTAGTGTAGTTTTTTTAAAAATATATATACTCAGTGACTTGTTTTTGTGAATGAGTTCAAGTATGGCAGACTAAAATCGTTATTTTTTATTATGAATTAATTTGAATTTATTTTAAAATGGGAACTATATGTATATGGTTTTCGTAGTTTTTACACTTATGATAAAAATATCAAAGTTATGTATATGCCATTTACTACACACAGCAAATTCATAGACACAATACATATTACTATTTGACATTCTTGTAAAACCACTAATTTAAAATTGACTTTAAACTAAGTGACTACACACAGAATTGTTTGAAAGCAGCCATAAGATATAATTTATTTATTGGATACTATAAAAAAATTAATAGTAATAGTATGTAGAGTTAAGTAACAAGAAATTTAAGACCAAAAACTAAACAAACCTTTATATCTAGAGAACTTAATTTAGTACAGTCCTCAACTTTCTTAGGCTAACATTAAATATATCTATTTGGATCTCGCTAAGAAACTCATTGGTAACAGCCATCATCTTGTTAAAAGGAGATATACTACTTGGATCTAAATCAAATAATTTTTTGTTACTTTGGTTTCTTAGATTAATCTTTGGCGCATTAACATTTATTGTATAGTCAATCAATTCACAATCTTTGTACTTAAAATAGAGTACAAAATATATCACAGCCTGTTGCTTTCTTCTTTGTAAAAGAGATTTAATCTTAAAACTATTGAGCATAGTTTTATACGAGATCTTAGGTATAAGGGTACAAGTATTTTTTATGACATAAAGGTACCGTAAAAATATTTTTTGTACTTTTTAAATATGATCAATTTGTGTGGCTTCCAAGGGCATCCATATTTGTGAAACATACTCAAGATGGAGTCTTAATCCTAAATTTTTTAGTATTTCTGATTTAAAAACCTAATGCTTTTATTGCTTTTTTAGTTATGTGTAAAAATGGTTATTGAACTTCAAATTAGACTGAAATACAACTCCCAAATCCTTTACCTCATATTCACGATTTAATGTGACATCACAGGTCTTATTTCTAATGTAAAACATTAAGAGGCTATGGATCCTTACAACTTAAAATATACGGATAAAAAGTGATGATTTTTATTTACAACTATAATAAGAACCCATTAAAAAGATTAAGAGCAATATAACATTTCAACAAATTCCTATAGGTACACATATTTTTGATACCTGATAATTAGAGGGCGGAATATATGCATCAAAATATAACAAAATAGGCGCATATATATGCATCGTTTTTACCAAAAATATGCAGTTATTTTGTCCAATTATGCCTAAATATGCAAATGCATATTTGTTAAAAATACTTAAAAAAAAGTAGGGGTGGGTAGCTCAGTGGTTAGTGCGTTGGCCTGTGGACTTAGGGGTCCCGGGTTCAAATTCCAGCCGGGACGCGATTTTTTAAATTAATTAATTTATTTAAAAATTAATTCTGATGCCTAGCGAATATTTCCACTTGACCATTCACTGTTGGGTTCTAATTAACATTACTGTTCCTAATTTGGTACGCTATCAAAGCCACAAAGCATGTATCTTCTAGAGACCCCACGCCAATGTTAAACTTTTAAACAAAATTAGCGCCACCTTGTGTTTGGAGCTGGAACTAAAATGACAATTGACAGATGGCGGTAAATTCAAATTGTAATTTTTAGGAGTAGGTAGTAGTTTTAAATTAAATTTTAAATGATTTCCACATAAATTATTTTATAAAATAAAGTATGGAACTAGTAAGTTCGAAACTTTTATTTTACAAAATAATTTAGGTCAATTATACCAAATTTGAAGAATTAATTTGTTATGAGGGGTCTAATGTGGAGAGTTGGTTCTGCATATTTTTATTAAATAAATATAAGATATATCAATAAATAATAAAATAGAAGATTCTTAAAACATGTTTATTAATAACTTAAATAAATATTATTAGATAAAAATAAATACAAATAATAATAATAATAATAATAATACATATTTAACGAATACTTACTTGGAGCAAATAGATATATAATCTCAAATCTTTAAAATATCTATTAATAATTTAAATGTGAAGTAGAGACTAGGATATTACATTTTATTAACACTAAAGTTATATATTTTATAATGTCTTTTTAACTGAGGACAAATGTAATATAGGTATTGTATTAAAAGGTGAATCCTTTTAACTATTCATTCAATGATAAATAGGTATTTTCCTTCCAAATACAGATGGTGGTATTACTCCTCTTATGTGAAAAATGATTTCGGAATCTAGTCCAGTGATAAATTGATTATCAATTAGTTGTTGTCCCCGTTTGTCTTTTTATGATGCAGATGCATGGTGAATCAATGAAGTTTTTCTCGAAGTTTTCAACGTAGCACCAAAATTATTGCAAAACACAGTAGGAAATAAAAAAGCGAAACATCACAATTTTGCAAATAACTAAGACGAAACTATAAACAGAAACTAAAAGCCAAAGCCAACAAAAAATCACTAAAATCAGACGGAAAAATGAAACTAACCAAGAACATAAATAAATACACGTCACATCTTTGGAGTCTTTGGTTAAGTTTTTCTCCCATAAGGCTTAAAAATGGAGTAAGAAATCATAATTTCACCAGTAGCCCCATGTAGAGTTTGGAGCAAATAGCATAAAAAATGTCAGTTGTCGGTTTTGACCTTGGTCATTCACGTGGAACCTCTATGTGCTTTGTGATCAAAGCCATTACACGAAAAAAAAAAAAACAAAAGAAAATATGTAATATAAAAATTTATTTAAAACAAACGAAACACAAAAACTAGTAGAAGTTAAGTATAGAATAGTATAAAAATATTAAATAGTAATATTATAATAGGAATTTATAATTAAATATTTTTCGAAATTTTCTATTAAAAATTTTTGTCTTCTGTCTGTAAAAATGTTTTGATATAGAAAAGGTCCTTTCAACATCTACCGAAGTAATAGGACAATACCGTAATTTTGGAAGTAATGTACAGGGCCAACGTAAAACTTCTTTGGAAAATTTTCCCTCAAAAATGTTTTTCACTTCCCTTATTTCATTGAACCCTTCATTCTTTAATAAAGTTGTATTTAATTTTTTTCTAATCTTAAGGCCTATGGCACCAGGAACATTGTTACATTTATCGGAAACTGTTGCAATAAAATTTGTTGATTCGATTAAACTTAAATTTTTCTTTTTCAATGAAGTTATTACATCAGGTAAAAAACTAAAATTAACCTTTATAAACACAAGTTGCTTAGGCACAAGGGGATTTTTTTAACAATTCTTTACTTTGCACTACACATTGTGAATTGTCTTCTATATCCAAAATTAAATCCTTAATTGCTTCAAAATTTTCTGCATAGAATATAGCTGCTTTAATCCATGTCCCCCATCGCGTAATTACGGGTTCCGGGGGCAAACACACCCCTACCATTCTCTCTTTATACAACTGCACTCTTAAAGGGGCATTTAAAAATATTTTTTTCACATTCGAAATTAGCTTGTTAACCAAGGGATATTCTGTTCTCACAGTTTCTGCAACTAAGTTTATTCCATGCAGAAGACGTGGACCATATTTGGATAAAATATTTTTAAGTTTTGCTCTACTTTTATCATATATGGTGCTGCGTCAGACAAAAACACTAAGAACTCTGAGGGAATTTGATTTGGTAAAAAAAATTCTGCTAGAGATTGTTGAATAAATCGGGTAACAGTTGTATTGTTAGTTTTTTCTAACTGTTTTGATGCAATTAAATATGATGTACCTGGTTCATTTTCTTTTAAGGCTTCAATCATAAGATGTACCATATATCTTCCACAAGCATCTTTGCTTTCATCAACAATGATGTAAAAATTGCTATCATCCAGTAAAAGTTTAATTTCTTCTATTACATTTATTAGCATATACATTTTTTTTTCTGAGTGTAGATTATCAGTGATAATCAATAAATAATATATTTTTTGGAGTAGCAACAGGTTTATTAATACACAACTATTATTTTGTTACAAATACTTATAATATTTATAATTAACATAATAGTTGATATAAGTCCTTTAAAAATAATATATTTTGATTTAATTGTTGAATTTATACATGAGCAATTTTCCTTGTAGCATTGTTTACATTTTGCAGAGAAATATTGTATTCTGCTTTTAGCTGATGAATCATGTCCTCAAATAAAACGAGCAATAATAAGGATAAAACACACACTGAAGTGTATTTGGGGTATTTTTGATCTAAATCCACTATCAAAATAATAAATTTTCCGTTTTTAAGCTGTGAATGTATTACAAAAACTACTTCGATAAAATGTAAACAAAAGTTTATATTTGTGTACGAAATATGGGTTGCCTGCGCATGGTAGCGAGTTTTTAACCGGATTTATGACAAGTGATAGGTTATATCCCGAAAACGTCAGCGCAGTAAAAGCTGCGCTTCTTTTTCCCGCCCAGGGCCTGGTTTGTCTTTGCGTGCATCGTTTAGTTCAGTTTTTAATATTGTATGTTTTGTCTAAGTTAGTCATAAATGTGTTGAAAGTCACGAGGTACTGTACGAAATTGGTGCAGTTTCGGATTAGGGAATTGAGTTCTCGAACGGCTAGAGTAAGTTCTGCTATATTTACCATTGAGTTAAGCTCCACAAATTCTTGATTAAGAGCGAAGATATCGTCAATCGCGTCTGTAGGTTGATTTACCATATTAGGTTGTCTACGGTTTTGATTTTGTTTTTGCGAGTATGCCTGTTTACTATTGTTGGGTAATGGTGGAAACTCTTCTGAGGGTTGAAATTTGTTTTTTCTTTGATTTTTCCATGCGTTTACCGAGGTGGCGGCGCTTATATGTATTTCTTTGGTGGTACTTGTAGAATTTTTCTCTCTTTCATCCTTTTGGTTCGGTCTAAATACGCCTTGCACTGCGTATAGTTCGCGGGATGATCCCCGAGGCAATTTGCGCATGTTGCTGCCGTTTCCCAGGTTTTCACACACGTGTTAGTAAGGTGGTCACCGGCGCACTTTAGGCACTTTGGGGGCCGTCCGCAATTTGAAGTAACATGTCCCCATGCTTGGCACCTATGGCATTGTATGATGCTTTTCGTAGATCGCCTTAGTTCCCAGGTTACCCGGGTGTTCTCTATTACCCTAACATTCCTGTTAATGTAATCTAGGGTAATTGCAGGGTCTGTCACAACGAGGTATAGTGGTCTATGCTTCGTGTTCATTTTAAATTTCTCTAGGGGTGATTTCATATGAGGCTATTAAATCTTCTTCAATATGTTCTTTATCGATCCCTTTTGCCATTCATCTGAGAACAAATGCGTGTGTCTTATCTGATTTGTTCGTGTAAGTGTAATGCGGTATTTTTGCATCCTTAATGCTGACTAAAATGATATATAATCTTCCTGTTCCTCAGTAAAAATTATGGTGGTAGCATTTGTATATTTGATTATTTGCCTTTTATTATTTCCTTTATGTCACTTGTCAGGGTTTCATGGTTGTCAGTGCGTCCGCCTACTACAATGGGCGGTATGTTATTTTTTTGTTGATTTGTTGCGTCGTTTCAACTTTCTTAGTGGCTTGGGGTGGCTTTACCTTTTACAATGGGCACTTCGTTTGTTTGCATTTCAAGTTCGCTGTCGCTGTCACTTATAGCTTCAAACCTGTTTTTTGTAGGTATAGTGCATTACGTTCAAGAAGTTTAACAAAGTTTGTTTTTTAAAAACCTCTTCTTCCTCATTATCTGAGCTGACGTTGCTTTTTGTAGATAGGGGAGATAGATTTTTCCTTTTTGGCAGGAGTTTCGATGTGATTGGGGGTTTAGATTGGGGTTTATGTGAGGGACTATTCCCTATTTGTCTGGCCAGAGATACTGGGGGTATCTGTGGTGGTTTAGGTGTCGGCGGAACCTGGGGAGGTAAACTCTGTGAAGTTTGGAGGGTTGCAGGGAATTGAATTTTTTCAGGAATCTGGAAGGGTTCTGTCGGTTGGGGGATCTTAAAGCCTGTCATTCTCCCTGTGTTTTGCAGATTTTTCGGTGCACTATTTCTCTACTCTTCAATGGAGCTTGTGATGTTTGTATCAGTTCCGAAGTTTAACACTCTCGCTGTCACTGATGGTGGCATTGCTATTGTTTTGTATGCCGATTCGAAACTCGCGATACTAGCTTCGTTTTTATCAGGATTATCAAATTTACTGTTTTTATTCACATTATCTCACACTGCGTTTTTGGGGTTTACCGGCATTTCGATCGGCACTTCATTAGGCGGAAGGTTTGAATTTCCCGCACTTTCATATTAGAGTGTAACGTCCTCACTATCTGGTGATTGTTCCTGGGTTGCTGGGAGGTCATCATAGAGCATGTTGCTCTCTTGCAATGGTGGTGAGTAGAAAGGTGATTTCTCCATGGTTTCTAAAATGTTTTAATTTTTTTCTTCCGAGAGGGTTTGGCTGGTACCTTGCGTGTGGTGCAAACCGACCTTATCGGTTTGCATTTCGCCTTATGTCCTGTGGGTTTTACGTCAGATCGTTTTTCGACTTTCTCTCGGCTTTGTGCGTTAAATTTTTTTTCGTAGGAGGCACCTGTCTTGTGTTCTCGTACTGTCTTATTTGTGTTTACTTTAGGTAAAGAAGTACTCACATGCCTATAGGGGTGATGTATACTCCTTTTTAATTTAAGGGTTGGTGGGCTTCTACGACTGGTGGTTTTTGATGACTTATTGACATCTACCTTTGGTGAAGCATGTTTATCTCTGCTTTTGCTGATTTTCTCTCTATGTCTCTTTGGGTATATATAGTCTCTGATGATGCATTTGCCTCTGTGATTGATGCGGTGGCCCCTGGGGGCTCCGACATTTGGAAAAACTCGATCCCAAGTAGGGATTTTGTACTTAACCCGGCTTATTTCAAAATATTTTTAATTAAATTTAAGGCCGTGGCCAAAGCAACAGAGACGTCACGGAGTTAATATTTTTATCACACAATCCAAAAAAAAACTTGTCACTTTTTATCACACTAACGATCCTACGCAAAACGTACTGTTTATACAAGCGACAGAACTAGAATATGATGACCATATCGCACGAAGACGTCTGAGTGCGATGTGGACAATCCACTCGAGTTGTACAGTATATTTTTTCTACGATCCCCTAACGAAAATTTACAAATAAAAAAAATTAGGTTATTTAGACAAAATAACTAATTTTAAAATAATTTATGACTTAATAATTTTTAAAATAAAATAAACGAAGAAAAAAATAATAATTTAAAAGTCCCCAGCCGAGGCTCGAACTTGGGTTCCTCGCGTGGAAGTCAGATACTCTCACCACCCATCCACCGGCATATTTGGGAATTTTTTTTTATTAAAATTAACAATTTATTTATAATTATAGTATAAATAAAAATAGAAATGCTATTATTTATCGTTTATACACAAAAAATGCATTTTAAAGTATATTTAAGTTCAATAACTAAAAAATAAACTGACAATTAGTGTGACAGAATTGTCACTTATTTAAAAGTTTAAAAATAATAGTCGTCGCGTGACCAAAATATGAACTGTGATTGGTGGATTTCATTTTTTTTGCAGTGTTCTCACTATATCGAATGGATATAAAATATATTCTTTCAGTTAATGGCAATAGTACCTATACTTTTTCGTTTGGTAGTCTGTGCGTAGATAAGCTAACATATTTTTTAATCCGATTTTAGAAAGATAACTATCATAAATGTTACTATTAGAAAAAGATAACGATCAACTGTGTGTTATGGTATAGAGAAAGTAAAAGTTGAAAAGTCTTTTGGTAGGTAGAGAGGGGGTAAACGTCAAACCACGTCGGGCGGCTCCGAGAATTTCACAGTAATGTTTACCTGCCGTTTCATAGAATAAGTAATTTTAAATTGTTATCGGCGGAACCGGACAATCGCATGTATTTATGGATTATAAATAATTATTAAACATGTATTATAATATTCAAATTATAATTTTACAAAATTTCAACCGCTATTTACAATTTATTAAACTATTTACTCGAAATTGTTATTAACATCTATAAAATAATTTTGTACGCCAATGTATCGCGTCCACTTCGGTGAGATCCGCTGCAACCTGTCAATTTATGTGTATAAAGTGGGAGAACTGGCAAAAGCATTTCCAACTTTTACTTCTGTTCTATCACAGATCATTAGAAATAGGCTCTTCATTATGACGCGGTAAATGGCGCAAAAATAGAGTGTTTTAAATAATTGATTTAAAAGTGTACTTTTTAAAGTACTATGACTTTACTATTTATTATCTATTTAAAGAATGTATTGCATGAAAAAGTTTTTTTTGTGCTTAAACAGTTAATAGCATTAGATTCGTTTACACTAAACACGCCCATTGATAGTTGTTGTATATTTAAAGCTTATGACTTGTGAAATTTGAAATACAGCTGAAAACGATTTCGGCGTAAATTTGAATTGAAAAACCGAAAAATGCACGTTGAGAACTTAATTTAATGGAGTAGGTTTTATTACTTTGTTATTAATATTTTTATTTCCGGAAAATGACGCCATATTAGCGTATGACGTCATTTTATATGGCATTTAATATGCTTTAGTATGACTTTTTTGGACAATAATAGATATTTAAACATAATTTGATTTATAGATGTGAACAAAATGAATAAACAAGGTTTGTTATTTTTTTTTTGTCCCTTTTCTATTTAATAACTGTGATTGCCTTGCAAAATACAAAAAAAAGTTGTTTTATATAAATAATAATAATAGTAATAATTTATAACATGAATTAATGTATCATCATGCAATCGTTGGTTACCTATATCGTTTATTTTGTACAAATGTACAAGGATATCATCAAAATGGTATAATCAGTATTACCGCTCTAACTGCATAAATTATGTCGGTTTTGAATACGAGGGTGTATTGATATCTAGTTAGCATTGGATAAACAATAAAGGTTTATTTAAAAAAAAATAAAAAATTTCGCAATTAACAATCTACTTGAAAAATTCTTGCTTCACTCTTTTTGGAACTATTAACTATGGTGCGTCTGGTCATTGTATAAAGAACTATTATTGCAGGATAATCGAAATTTAAAAAGTATTGGAGGCAATCGCATCTAATGATGCACGTAACGATTTGGATTGCTGGTCAGTTACGCTTCCTACAGTAGCTTTTAAAATTGCCTTTTCTAATATACGAGTTTGTACTTAGTCAGTGGTATTTTTATAGTAATATATTAGTTTTGAACATAGAAATTTTGTAAAAAAACAATTCCATTTATCAAAAGTGAATCATAAAGAATAAATAGGTGGTAGAAACTAGGAACACCTACGTATAATGTTGCCTGCTTGAACAGGATCGACTCAAAAATGTTATATCTATCAAAAGGTTGTCTAATTTGCAGATTGGAATTTGACGGCTGCCAGGTACTAAACTAGTTATAGTTAAGAAGTGATCAATTTTCCCTCCAACGCCTCTAAGGGGTACTTATCGGTGACAGGTACTAGAATAAACGCACTAGATCAGGCCTACACAACTGAGATTTCCAAAGGGCCAGTTCAAAAAATCCGAAGGTGTACGAGGGCCAAGAATGGATGTAATTTTTTTTTGCGGGGGTGTGTAGGCGAAGGAATTTCGCAGGTGCAACGCTCAAATACGTTGATCAAAAACATTTATTTATAGTTTATTTTCAGAAGTTGTTTTTTAAATAAAATAAACGTTGCTTGTTAAGTTTTATTTTAAATACTTACATCAAAGTTTTATTCAGTAAAGTTTTTTTGTGCTTTACCACATATATGAGTTGATTAATAAATGCAATTTTGTTACTGAAAAATCTATAGTTTGACGTAGACGGGACAAAGGGTCAAGAAAATGTCAATGGCGGGCTACAAGCGGCCCGCGGGCCGTATGTTGTGCAGCCCTGCACTAGACTGCACTAGATTATACTTGTAAACGTA